CGTTTGATGAAGGTGTAATGTGTGGGTGAGGTGAATCAGGAAACAGAGCAAAAGCATGTGCAATTTGCTGGATATATCAGTAGCAAGGGAACTGTCTCCTAAACATGGTTAAATATGTAAACTCTGCCTAGGGAAAATATTTATTTATCTAGATTGATGGCAATCACAGTGAAAAGCATTCAAGATAAGTGGCTCTTTAGCCAACTTTAATTTGTTGATGGATGGATTGATGGGAGGATGGTCAAAGGAATGACAACATAACTCTCTGTAATGGAGATATCCTGTCTGCTGGAGTTTGCAGTACCATTTTGTCTAATTATTACTGATCCATCAATGAGAAAACTTTGCTCCCAGTGAGACAAGTTGTCATTCCTTTTCTTTAAATGAAAATATGAGGAGGTAAAATCAAGAATAATTAGAGCAAAGGATGATGACATCTTCTGCAGTCAGAAATACAAAAAAAAAAACAAAACACAACACTCCCTATTGCTTAAAGACACTTTACTATATTAATTGAAATAGTTGTGCATTCTATTACGTGGTTTGTACGGAGCAGATGGCCCATTTCACAAATTAAGCCTCGTCTTTATACATTGCTTCAACAAAATAATGGTGAATGAACACTGCTATTGCAAACCCAAGTTCAAACCTTGTAGCATCAGCATGTGCTACACTTTTCTTGTGCAAGTTAGTGGGAAAGCAAGGAAATCAATCAGAGGTAACTGCTTGTAAAACATCCCGAGGAACCACAGAAATATTCTCCTGGAATTAACGCATGTATTGCAAAAGCAAAACCTGCCAATCAGCAGTACAAACTGATGTCTCAATTTTCTGATCTGTCTGAAGTACGCCTGCTCTGGCCCTAGCAATAAAAGAGCAAATACCAGTAGCTGCTGCCCTAGCCAGAGGGGCAGCTGTCCCCAGCATCAGAAGAGCAGCCCCAAGTTTGCCCCAAGTTGACACAGCTAACACTTGTTTTCAAGGGGTGAATAGCCCGCGATGTCTGTAAAATCGGTTTCCTTTTAGGTTGGATCACCAAAATTTGAGTTATTCTAAATCAGTGTTGTTGCTGGAAATTGCATCTGCAATGGAGCTTATTTTATGGGAGTGACTGCATGAGAAACGGGTGCTGGTGTCAGCTCACACCTCAGTGGACACCATCACTGCGACAGGAGCCTCCACACAGATACCTGCCACCAGCAGCAAGTCGGCACCACCCTGAGACCTACTGCTGCTTGCAAACTCCACCGTGCTGACACTGCTGGAGGGGGCTGGCAAACATCAGGGAATAACCAGGAGCCCTCAGGCAGCTCTCCTCACGAGCACAGCACTGCAGGGGAACCGTGGGCACGACCCTATCCAGAGCACTTGGGCATGGTTTGGATCGGCCCCAGCTACATGACAAGCACATATGCTGCTGCTGGAAATTTTATGTGGAAAAAAACTAGCTTAGATCGTAGTTTATAGTTCTTTTCAGCAGGACTGCATGAAGCTAATGACACAGAAAGCCATTTGGGTTAAACTGTGAAACTGAAAGATGCAGCACCTGCTTTTATGCTTCACGTGTTACTAAAAATACTTCTTCCTTTCTAAAATGCAACCTGAATGACAATACAAAAGAAAACTCTACAGTGACATTGGTGACATTATTAAGGTGAGGTTCATCAGTGTCCCTGCTCAAGGAAAAATGAAAACATTATATGAGAAACAGAAAACATCATTATGCCATTTCTTAAAACCTTGGTGCATCCATATCTGAGGTAATTCATTGCACTCCTGGTCTCTCCATGTAAAAAAGGGGGTAGTGATAGGTTTTTGACAAGAGAGATGAGGATGATCTGAAGTATGGAAGTGCTTCCATATGAGGAGAAGCTAAACAGCATCTATTTATTCTGAAAAAGAGACTCCTGAGGGGAGAAACATGGCAAAGAGGTGTGGAGGAGGCAAATCGAGACACGAAGTGCTTCAACAGACAGATGAGAGGGGGTTCGAAACAAAGAGAAGTGCCCAATGCAACCGAAATCCAGCATTTCAGGGGAAGGTGTGGAAGCCAGACGTAGGCAATGGTTGGAGCAGCGGGTTACACTGACTGCCTCGGGGCTGGGCCACCCAGCCCAGCTGCAGGCACTGCTCCCACCTGAGCCTGGGGCTGGCCACGTCACCTCGGGCAGTGGGTACGCAGACACCCACCCCACAGGGCATGGGGACACCCTGGGGTGCCTTCAGGGTGTGCCGCCGGGATGTCCTTTTTGTCGTGGGTGAAGCTCACGCCATTCGAATATCACATTCATTCCTTAACAGCTCCCCTCTCTGCTCCTCGAATCAAACAAAAAGCCCTGACTCAAGCAAAAATTTTACCAGTGAAAAGGGAGCATTGCCAGAGACTATGAACCCCTGTAGAGATTTTACTTTTGCTATTGATTTTATGCGTGAGATGCTTAGCGACTCTGATAATATCTGACAGTATAAGAAGCCAGAGAGAGAATAGAAAGGTTAACACAGTAACAATGTCACCAGGAGAACTGGCAAAATTTTGGGAAATTGAGGCTTTAAATTCGACTGAAATACCTCATTGTTTATCAAGCTGAGAAATGTTTTGACAAACAAAATCCTCCTCCTGTTGAGGAGTTTTAATTTTTTCTCATTACTTCTGAGAGAAGGATACGCAATATAAAATGGGATATAATAGAGAGCTATAAATGCTTCGGAAAGGGAAAAATGGAAATGGCAGAAATCTAAGTGGTGAAGTGAGGCATGCACAGTGAAGGTACTTATATTTCTTATCATGCTAACAGCTCGCTATGCAACTTACTGCACATTGGTATCATGGCACCTTCTAGAATGTTAAAAAAAAAAATTATTCAAAAATAGTTTTTCAGTAACGATGTCTCTGAATAACAGCACTGCTCCTCTGGGTCAACACAAACCAGAAGGCATGGGCACAGGGGAAGACGTAACCTCATCTTCTCTGAGGCCTCAGAAGATGTGTGGCCAGCCCTGCCGTTTCCCACAGAGCTGCTCTACCAAGCAAGGCTGCTCTCTGAACACATCCACCCACCCCAAAAAAAAATAAAAATAAAAAATGGAGCCAAATGTTGTCTAGAAGAATGTTCCTTTCAAGGGTAAATTGCTTTTAAAAATAAACAGAAGTTCAGCTGAAAGTCTGCTGATGTTTCGGTGGTCCCTCAGTTTGGTGGCCATCCTGGGGGTAACAGTTCGGATGTTTCTGGATGGAGGAAGGACTTGAATTCATGTTAGTCACTTCCTGGGTAAGTGCTCTTGTATCAAGAGTCTTCAATATGAAGCTTAATAAGCTGATGTATTTTAAAAGTGCAGACCTAAGCTCTCAAGTCTGAGCAGGATCCCAGCCCGTGTGGTTCAGCTGCTTACTGCCAGGACCTCAACAGGGGCAATGCAGGTTTTAGGATTTGCCCGTCTGGGCAGTCTGTTCCACCCCATGCACAGTCCAGAGAGCATGGATCTCACACTGGGCTTTACACTCATGCACACCTGGCCCTGCAAAACAAGGAGGTAATGAGTCTGGCCTGTACCAGACTGCCTCTGCACCAAAGCTTTCCCCAGATATGCCTGGTTTGGGGCATTTGAACTATATGTTGGAAATACTTATTCATAAAAATATAGTGCTTACTATACAATTACTTGAGGATTGTGTGTCAAGAGACTAAAATGTCTTTCACTTCAGTTCACTTACTCCAGCAAGTCTCCCCCCTGTAACTGTAACCCACTCTGCTATGAGGGAACGTGCTATAGCTACTGCAGAGCTAGAGAACCAAAAAATACACATCCGAAGCGACAGCATGAAAAAAGTGAATGGGGGTGAAATATAATTAGCTGAGGCACGGACAAGTAGGTAAGTCTCCACAGTCATAATTTATGTGGGATATTGTTATAGTTATTACCATGCAATTTAACAAGAATACACCAGAGCAATTTTCATATCTTAAAACATGCAGATGCACTCACATATATGAGAAAAGTCTCAGAACTCAAATCATCCAAAATAATCAAGAAAGTTATTATCATAAACAGCACAATTAACACAGGGATCACAAGGGATGAGTCTCCATTTCTGACAATCTTAAGAGAAAATGAAAGCATTATTAAAACTTTAGTGTGGAAATGGTAGCTACATTCACATCTCTGTGCACATCACCAGCACTCTTCATTCTCTCTAAGTCCCTCCTCTACTGCTTCTTTGCCAGTTCCAGATGAAAAAAAATGAATAGATTTGGGATCTCCTAGACCATCAGAGGATGTACCTGGTACTGAAAAATACCCAGACTGACCTTGCCATTTTAAATTTATGTTTTTTTTTTTGTTGTTGTTGCTTTTTTTTTGAAGTAGATAGGAAACGTCTTTGATTACTATAGTTGATGAGGAGAAAGTATGGCCACTGGGCTCAAGCTTCTGGAGATTTAAATCTATAAAAAGAAAAACGCTGCTTTATGAAGGTCTGTTCTGCCATCCATAATTTACAGGCTTCTTTCTAATGTTGCTGTCAATACGGTATTGCTCTCATCAGCTGTATAAATTCTTTCTACCAGTAACACGGAACACAGTGTTACCATTTCAACAAAAGGAGCCGTTCATCATTTCAATTCTTACTTAAATTGCTGAAGATTATCCACTGCCCATTAGATTTCAACAATATCCAAATGTAAGCTGTTCTAATCATATGCTAAAATATAAGAGCTACCAAGTCTCAGAACCGGCTGAAAAAAATAATCTGTCACTCTTACGCTGATCAAGTTTCTACATCAGAAGTTTCTTTCTTTCTTTCTTTCTTTCTTTCTTTCTTTCTTTCTTTCTTTCTTTCTTTCTTTCTTTCTTTCTTTCTTTCTTTCTTTCTTTCTTTCTTTCTTTCTTTCTTTCTTTCTTTCTTTTTCTTTCTTTCTTTCTTTCTTTCTTTTTCTTTCTTTCTTTTTCTTTCTTTCTTTCTTTCCTTTCTTTCTTTCTCTCCTTCTCTCTCTCTCTCTCTCTCTCTCTCTCCCTTCCTTTCTTTCCTTTCCTTTCCTTCTTTTGTGTTTTTCTTTTTTCCCCCATCTTTATGTACTTACATTTGCCCAGTGTGCATTCAATTTTAGTACATAACAGGACGCTCATAGTTGCCCACCTAAGGTGAATAGTTTGTGTAAACACGTGTTTCAATATAGCATACACAGTTTAGAAAGGATTGTCTTTTCTTGAGGCATGAGGATAAGCTAGAAGAACTCCTGAGGTTTTAGTGTTGTCTTTAAAAATCTGTTTCTCATGTTTAAAAATGTTGTCCCAGATTTAGAAAGGGAGCATTTAAGATAGAGGCAAAAAGTACTGCAGCTGTCAGTGCCATTTCTGGCATTTCTTGATCACAAAAATCATTCTCTGTTTCTTGGTCATGTACTCAAATAACAGCAAAATGAACCTCCAGATAATGCGCATTAGTGATTTTGTAATTTTCATTTTGAGCCTAGAGGTGAGTTTGGAGCCTCCCTGAGTTAGCCCAGCGAGCCTCATTACACCATATCTGCCTTCCCAGCAAATGTCTCTGCACTTAAAACAAGAGCCCAATAAAACCCAATAAAACTCCTCTAAATTAAGGTTTATGCGTGTTTGTTTAGATCCATATTTTATATGCATTGGATAAAGAAAGCCCATTATACTATTCCAGAGTTTTTTCTTTTGTTTTGTTTTCCTTTTTTTTTTTTTTTCTTTTTATCTAATACTGTGCCAGTCCATGTCTGTAAAAATCTTCTTCACCCTGTTTGCTGAATCATGCCTGGAATCCATATTAGAAGTCAAGTGTAAAAAAAAAAAAAAAAATAGGAGGGAAAGCTGTGCTACAGGCAGCTGTTGTTGCCAATGCCCTTTCTTTCTCAGAAATAAAAGTCACACAAAAACTTAAAATCTTGCTAGTCCTCTACTCCTTACTGTCAACATTACCTTCCTTCAGATGTGTAAAAGGGCAAATCTTTTCCTAGCAACAGCATTAACCTATTCACAAGGTTTTGAAAATAGGCTTTCTGTCTTTCCCATAGCTGACAACACATTGTGCTGTTCCTACATGCCTGTGGTTTAGTGTGTTGTACTCTCTCTTTAGCATTAGGACCAATTTCACAATAGTTCCAAAAAGAGCAGAGAAGCAGTAAGGCTTGACACTTGCTGGAGCATTTGTCCGGCTCTAATCAAAGCACCAAATAACAGAGCAAGGGAAGAGCTATTGATAGCACTTTGGAGGCAAATGCTACAAATACATGGCTACAACAGGAAGTTTTATAAGCCCCTATTAATTTGAATATGTGGGAATATTCTGATACAATTGCAAGTCAATAATTAGATTGCTCAATGACAAGGCACTTACTCTTGTCTCAGTAAGAATCATGGTCACACTCCTTAATTCTTCACAAAGCTCCTTGAATGTGAAGCAAAACAGGTGAGCACAATCACATATGGAAGATCTACAATTTGTTTTATATACAAAAAATAAATACAAAGCTAAACGTGTTTTGTATCAGCACCTAAAATGTTTCATCCATGTATTGTTCTAACTTCTGGACCAAATCTAGTTCTATTCCTTTTTCACAGACCACCAACTCAATAACCTTATTTGCCTTCGTCACTGTGAAGCACCAACAAATTTGTCTGCGCCTCCCAACACACTCCCAGCTAGGGAGCTGAGGCCAGTGTCTAGTGGCACCATTTCCCTCCCTTATTAGAAATGCGCAAGGCATATTTTCAGTTAATTGGGTTTCAGGAGCCACGAGCTCCTGTCTCTGGCTGAACAGCACTAACTTCATCACACTTGCTGATGAAGACCTATTGCCATATACTGCCTGCTGAAGGCCTAACCAGGCACTCGCCAGTGCTGGGAAGCATCAAATCTGATGTTAAACAAGAATTTGGACTTTTGCAAATTGCTGTAATTTCCAAACTGCAGTTGGCTGATCACTTGACATCCTTGAGTCCCAATAAATAGTCCTCATGTGAGATGGGAAAATGCTAAGCAGAAACCTATACGAACCTGTCAGTTTTATATGAAATTACCCTTGATTGAAACCCCTTGTGTCTCTGCCTGCCTTTGGGAAAGGATCTACCCCCCAAAACAAACACCACACCAACCACAGACAGGCTGAGGCTCAGCTCCAGATACAAACTTTGTGATGGGTTCCTCACTACACAGACAACACATGGCTTCCTGGTATGCTACACCAGGAAAAAAAAAAGAAAATAAGAAAAAAAAAAAAAGCCAAACAGTGAGTTCTTTTCTGTACCTAAGCAAAAATGTTGTATTCAAATGACAGGCAATTTCAAAAGGGAGTGGGTCTTCTTTAAAATGTGTATCTAGACCCACCAGTAATCTGGGTGTTTTATAATAACGCTACTAATATTTAGTGAGCTACTAACATGTCTGGAATCCATTGACATTTCTCATTCAAGACACAGGTGAAACCTAAGGATATATATTTGGTGACGTATCAATACTGAAATGAAATGAAAAAAAGAAACCCTGTGTGATTTTTGCAATATTGTTTGTCAGTTAAGAGTTAGGTGTCCTATTGAAACTGTTCACAACAATTCTTCTTTCAGAAGTTATCAAAGGAAGTCTCCAGACAGCTTGAATTTTGTTTTGTGTTGTTTTGTTTTTCCAAAAGAGAGAAAAGTTTCTGCTCATCCTATGGATCTCCTTGCCAGCAGATGTTGTGGGTTTAGAAAGTTTACATATATTTAAGAGCAGAATGAACAAGAACTTGAAAGAGCCCTATTGAGAGCACTTAGACAAATTGCATTAGACTCGGGGGAGCACTTGAATCAAAACCAGTCTCCAGGAGGAAAGTAATGTCAAGTAGAAGCATCATATATGCATACCCTGCTCCTACTCTACCCCAGGCACTTGTTATGGCCACTGCTGGAGACAGGATGCTGAGATAAGCCTTGCTCTGAACCTTTATGGCTGCTCCTGTGTTCCAGCGAAGTCTTATTAAAAGTGGTGTTGGCATGAAAGCCATGCTGGGTGGGAAGCATGTGCTTAGCAGTTCATTTCTTAAAGACTTTTTACTGCTTTTCCCTGCTTCATTTACCTCTCAAATCTTTATGTACAAAGCAATACATTTCTAGTGATATATAAATGGTTATTCTGCTAGATTTTAGATGGATTACAGCTCAGATGCTTCAGACAACATTGAGGTGAGAGGGCTTCCCTTATACTTCCATGATACACCTGAGAAAGCGGTGACACATCCAGAGCAATTTCTCTGCCTTGCAGTTCTTTCCACACACACATCATCAAACCTTATTTGTTTTATTACTTATTGTGTGTTGTCTTTACTTTTCACTACTGTGAAGTTATGTAAGGTGATTAATGCTCTCTGACTGTATAATGTCTTCCTTTGATTTGTGAAAAAATAATTAGAGAAGAAAGAAACCGCCCTTAGAAAAAAAAAACGTGAGACCAGATGGAAAGGTATGTCTTGGGCGTGGGAATGTTTACACAGTAGTTTTGGGGAAGCAAGCATTTGGTGGTTTTGCTCTCATCCTCTGCTTGTTCAGGGATGACCTCAGTGAACAGGGCCTCTTCTTAATTGTCAGAAAAACTTAGGAGAAGTGCACTGCACTTCTTGGCCAGCAGATTCACCTGAGTTAAACTTCTCCAAAACTTCTGACCAGCCAGGGAACTTCTTCCCCATAGCTGTAGCATTTATCAGAGGGTTTGGTTCAGTTTCAGAGGACAAATCATCGGACTGACATCTCCACACCCAGGTGGGAGTGAAACACAGACCAACCTCTGCCAAAATAATAACAATAATAAACAGAGATATGTTGACTAATACTTGCACACAACCACTTCCTCCACCAAAGAAAGAGGAAGCGGAGAGTTTCAGAAAACAAAAACAACAAAACACAACCTATTGGCACTTACGACTGCCACCTTGCAGTGGGGGCTTCATACTTCAGAAGTACAGATTTAGGACTATACACCCTAGGACAGACCCAAGAATCACTTTGCCCTTTTCCAAGAGATTTGGGATAGCAGCAGCAAGCATGAGGGGCTGTGAGGTGGTGCAGCACTCACTGTTCGAAGAGCTGGACTAGGGCCTGAGCTTAAACATAAGGAATTACTTGACTCAGTGTGAATGTGTGAATCAGAAATAAGATTGACAGCTCAGAAATGTTCTAACTTTATTTGCTAGAAAAGTTTTCCTCCTAGAAACTAGAAAGTTTTTGAATTATTTCCAGTAAATGTCTGGGGGCACTAGAAATCTCAAAAAGAAATCTCACCCGTTCCTGCAGGTTTTCCTGCTAATTTTCAAGATCCAAGGCTCATGGCCTGATTGAGATCAGATCTCAGGCTTTTGGCTGGAGACATTTTAGAGCTGGAACCTGTTCTATACAGCTCTGAAAAAGCATCAAGCTGAGTTCTGACATGTCATAAAATATTTACCTCTAACCTGGGAACTTGTGTAGCAACTGAAACAGAATTAAAAGAAAAAGACCCAATTGTTATGGTGTGGTTATACATATAAATTTTCCTTCACTCTTGTGTTTCACTATCGAATCTCAATTTTATTACGTCATATTGGTTTCATTAATGACAAAGAAAAATAGTAAAACAAACAAAAAACAAAAGACCTAGGAGCTATACTTCAGGTCTAACTTCATTCTTCAGCAAAACCAGGGTGCTCAGGAGGTCAATTCCTTTCAGTCTTACAACACTCATTAGTTCACAATCCAAATGATCTATACTACCTCATTTAAATGCAAGTGATGAGAATTTTAAGTCTTGGGTAAGAAAAATCTCAAAATTGTCAACTATGAGATTTATCTGTCTACTTTCCTGAAGATTCTGTAGCTTTTCCTGACTTTAAAATCCATATACTTGTGACATCAAGAATAACATGAGATTTCAGAAGCTTTTCAGCATTTGCTGGTAGAGAGAACCAGTAGGGAGACAAATCTAGTACCGATTATCTGTAATTAATATATTAATATTTCAAATGGCTACTTAATTTAGTGGCTAGTTGTGGTAGAGACCACAGGGAGGTTTTTTGTTTGTTTGTTTTTGTTTTGTTTTTCACAAAGAAAACGTGCTCTCAGAATCTCATTTCATTTCACAAAAAGAAAGGGAGTAAGTACCCAGCACCAGGGATGAGTAAGCAGTGTCACATTAGGCACGCTTCACTGGCCTGCGAGGGATGGGAAGTTCACCCATACAGCAGCTCATCAGCCCAGACTTACCTCCACCTGGCTCAGTGTCTGCTCACTGTGGATTCCCACCGTGTTGTCTTCTACCCCCTCGGTGAGCATGGCCATGTCAGACAAGTGGATAGCAACTATTCCTACCTCTTCAAGGAAGATGTCTCTTGGTTCATCTTAGAAAGGTACTTCAGGTGTGCTTGTAATGTAAGCCATAACTCAAACTGGTAAATTCTATTCAGTTCCATCAGACACGCCAGTGAGTTTTTCCAGGTCTGTGATGGCTTAGGCAAATTTCCTAACTATATGTTTCTTCTTGATGGGGAGTTGTTGGCCAAGAGCTGGTGAGTGAGCAGCACACTCTGTCTAGGATAAATGGATGTTTCTTCGTTGCCCAGGTAGGAATGCAGATGTTAGAGGGCTGTTAGGATAAGGCCTGGCGATGCAGACACAATTAGCGGACGTTGCACCTGCCAGACCCGCAGCAGTTATTAATATTGCTTAGGAAAAAAGGGTCGCGAACAGAGATGTCAGACTCTGAGACTCCTTAAAAAAATTATGCTGTCAGCAAAAGGCCAAGCAGACCCCTGAGATGGGAGAGCATGCCAGGAGGTTCCTTTTGCTGGGAATGCAGAGTTTTCCCCGTGGGGATTGGGGGCTGGCAGCTGCACACCTGCCTCCCTCTGCTTCCCAAGTGCCTCCCCAGATGGGAGCGCTTGCTGGAGACAGCCCACGCTGCTCTGAGCAGTTTCCTGAGCCCTGTGGCTGCTGTCATGGGAAGGAACAGTATGTGAAACATGGCATCGTTTCATCTCACTAAAAGGAAGCAGATAGCACAATGGATAAAATAATGTTCACACAGTCCCCATGTGTAGCTGGATGCTGGTGTTTAAAAGCATTGCTTGAATACAGCAGACCAGCAATAAGTACACAGAGAGGAGTTTTTAAATGCTTCCAAATAGCACCGCAAAAAAATCCCTGCATTGCCTCTCAGTTTTCACAGTATCCATCATCGTGATACAGAAGTAATTGATGTAGTGCCCTGCTCCGACGACCTTCTTGCTCTTGAAGCAATTCGGCTGTTCTGCACTCCGAATGTTCACTTGGGCACTGAAGGTCCAAGTAGCACTGTAAAGGAAAAGAGCTTTGGTGAAATTTCACAACGTAAGACAAGACAGAAGCCCTGGAGCCACAGGATTTCCCATACTTGATTTCTAATGAATGCTCTTGGGCAGCTGCAGCCTCTGCAGTGGGCACTGAGGGTGAGGGACCTGAGAGGGGGATCTGCCCCTCAGGCCTCCAGCGCTGCTGCACAGCCTGTTGCTCGGGGGTAGCCCCTGGGGTGTCTTCTCATGCCTGCTCCTCTCCGTGGCCAGCTGCCCTGTTTGGGGCTGTAGGCAGGACTGCTGGGGTTCCAGTGCCTCCTTCAAATAAGGTTCTTCAGGCTTTTCTTTCTTGTCCATGGAAAGAACAGGGAGCACTCACTTTAAAGCATGCTAAGAGCAGGTGATGAGGCTGTGACATTTTTTCAGTCACAAAGCAATTAAAGCACCCAAGAGAACACGGGTACTTGGGGTCCCCTTAGCAGCCCAAGGATAACATTCATTTGAAGTTAAGTTCTGAAAACAAGCCAACAGATAAATCATCCCAGGAGTGAGACCAATGCCTGGGTTTCCTCCAGGCCTCTAATGAGCACACCAGTGGTAAGTCTCACTAATGCATCTCTCTGACCCAGTAAGGTCTGAGTCACATTCTGGAAAGTGAGAAGTTGAAAGCGATTATAAACATCCCCTGATCTGTAATGTGGGATGAGCTGGAATATTCACTACAATATGAAATTAGAAGTTTACTCTTTTCTCCTGCTTCCACAGCCCATTCTCTCGTCTTGTTTCCTAGAAATATTTCTTTGGATTCTCAGGTTGAGAATCACCACAGCCAGCCACGCTGGGAGTTCACTCCGAGTGTTCACTGAAACACCTCAGCTGCCTAAACTTCAGCGAGCTTTTTGCAGCAGCATAAAGAACTCCGGATTTGCTGCATCAATGAGAGAGATGGGATGAAGCTGCTGTGCATTTTTAAAAAACTTATTGCTCTGCTGTAGGAAGGTGAGCAAAGAGAAAGCCTGGAAGCTGGTCCTGCAGTGAGAGTAAGCAAGCCATACATTGGCAGGGCATCTTAATACAGTTACAAAATTAAGCGAAGGGCAATGAAAGAGGGATATTCTGTCACCTAGCCACTTCTCCTTTTGTGAAGCCACACATAACACAAAGTTAATTAAAGCTTCTACTCTGAGAAAAAGGAATGTTCCATTTGGTAAATTTAGAAACAGCTGGTTAGTTTTATCCATTACTTTTGTGCTAACATCAGTTGAGCTCATTCAACTCTCTCTTTTTATGAAGCTGTCCTTCCTATGCTACCTGATAGCTACTAATTGCTGCAACTACATTTCTGAATTGCAAATTTTCTGCACTGATAAAAACTTTGATTGCCTGTCAGCTACACATAAGGAAAAGATCACCAGTGCTAAATGAGGTGTTCCACGCTTGGATAATAATGCCTAATGAATTATTCAAAAAAGAATGCTTGAATGAAGCAAACAATTTGAAGGGTTACTAGCAGCCGTAACAGTTCAACAGCCAAAAGAACAAAAGTATCATCCTGAAAATTACACTAATGATTAAAAAATGCGTATTAATTCTACATTTGGAGAAAAAAGAAATGCCAATCTGATTTTAAAGGTTAATCATTATTTCTTCACTAATGTTTTAATCTTTGGGAAAAACACCCTTTACCAATATTTTGGGACATATAATATTATGACATACCATATTTATACAATTTTCCAGGCATTAACCCTCTCTGCAAATTTCAAATTTCACTGTAACAGCATCAAAAGCCCTGTTTGAAAACTATCCCTGTCCACAGGATCCTCTCCATTGCTTTAAGTGAACCTTGAATCAGGCCCATTGCTGGCACAGCAGCATCATACTGCCTGACTTGTGGTCAAGCACCACTGACGCTGTGGAGGTGCTCTCAGGTGATGGGCTATTGAGTAATTCAGTGTCTGAATTATTCCAGAGTGACTTTGGTGTGGTGAAGCCAAAGTCCAACTTTCACCATCCATTTTAGGAAAAGATTTGCTAATATAGGGGACAGAAACAAGACCCCCATGTTCAAATCAAATGAAAAGCAATAGCTATACTCACAAAACTGTTGTAATTAGTAACTCCTTCCAGCCTAGGTTTGATTGCATTTTTTTTAAAGTGGACAGCTAGTGCAGGAAGAAATATTTTTCTCCAAATAAAGGAGAAAGATCAAAGAAAAAGAAAACCATAATAAACCAAATTTCATGGATGTCCAAGGCTGACACATTTTCAGCTTTCATAAAAAATATATTTCCAACACCAAAAGCGATAATTTATTGTGACAGACTCTCTCTGGTTGCCAAAACCCAAGAAAAATCTGAGAACTAAATTCTAACAAACATCTCCTATAAGATATTAGTTTTACATACACATGAAATAAAACAGCACAATGGAAGCAACACGTTTGTCTGCTTTGCTGTTAAAAACCTCCCAACTGTTATGTTTGGAACCGAGCTAAAAGAAACACACCATCATCTGCAGAGAGGTCTCACAATGCTAACACAATGTTGACTATGCTAAGGAAGGATTTTGCAGATAGTATTTATTAACATGAAACCCAGTCAACCACTTAGCTACCTCTGCTGCAATTTTACAGCTATAAAGCCTTTGGTATTAGACGCCAATTAGTGATTTTATTATAAAGATGTTCAATGTCAAGATAACACTTCTCGTTTCTGGCAGTGACACTGAATGGTGGATAGAAGAAATGACTTCAGGAAAGCTTAGCTGACCATCTGCTTAGGCCTGCTCACTCACTGATGATTAATCCTTTCCCTCGAGGACAATGTCTCCATGTGTTTCTCTTGCTGTCTTTTTAATGTCACAAAAAGAGGTTGATAAACACATTCAAGTCACAATTAAAAAACATTTTAACTGACCAGTTGCCACTGATGATATTATTAGACAGTTTTAGTCACTGTTGTAAAAATGTGTTTAGTGGTGTTGACGTGAAGTGGAGATGAAGTTTCTTTAATGTGCCTCCTACCTATTTCTATGCTTAAGTGACATTTAAATGTTTACCTTGATGCTTGCAAGCAGTTTGCAAGGGCACAGAGAGTGTGCTGGGTTTTACATCACAGAAACAAAATTTTTCAGAACAATATTTGCAGGACTGTGAGGCAGCTGATTTTTTCCCTTGCTTGGGGTGGGGGTGCAGGAGGAAGAGGAGGAACAAAAGATCTAAGAGATTTTAGGCAGATTGCAGTGACTCTTTCCAGACCCATTCATGTTTCTGCCAAATGCACAAGTGACTGGGTTCTCATCTCATCACAACAGGTTAGAGCACAATGGTAGGCTCATGGGCCTTGTGAACACCTAGGAGTTCCATATGTGCTGGGACATCATGGTGGTGGCATGGAAGCTGTTTTAATAAAGAACAGAGCAATATTAGGTCCTGCTTCTTTTCTCTCAGGGAAGACTGCATGAATTTTATTCCACTTAGGAGGCACGTTCATGCTCACAATATTTTACAGAACTGTCCTGATGAAGAGGTGATTTGCCAGGAACTAACCTGCACTGACAAATGAGATGACCAGTTTTCACAGGGTCTGGCAGTTATAGAGCTCAGCATCTCTGGCCTCAGATCATATTTTATTTATATTCTCAAATTCAGATTTAGGGTTCCAAATTCCGGTCTTCAGGGCCTGACCTAACTTTTTATTTCTACTCCAGCCTTTTATCGTATAGAATACTTTTATTCCTCCAATTGATCTGCACTTGCAAATAACAGAACAATGTTTCTTAGCAGTGCCAGCACAGAAGCACTGTAATTCCCAAGTAGCTGGGCTGATTTATCACCTATCTGATTTAAAGCACATCTAGCCAGCAGAATAGTTAATGATGATCTGCTAGCAATAGACTGCAAATATGGTCCTACCTATGAATTAGTGGTTTTCAGATTCCATATCCACAACATTACGTTTACTTTTATGAAGTCTCGTATTTAGAGTACATCAACTCCCATCAGACGAAATGCATTGAACACTTTATAAATCAGAAATCAAATAGCCTCAAAGGAAGAGTAAGCTCTAGTGATGTGAATCCACTTCATTCTTGTGAAGGCATCATGGAGGGGCATTGACTTTACAACTCCGGAAATTAATTCGAGCATCTCCCCACAGACCACTTGAAGAGTTTCCTTTGTCATTTCCAGACCAGTATCTACAATCATCACCTCCCATTAGACTGAAGGATATACTCCGTGACTTGGTGACATTTCTACTTCTCTAAAAGTTTCCATATTAACAGAATTTTCATCATCAAGACTTTTAGTATCAAAGCCAGTCAGTAATTTCTGGAAGTTTAAACCAGCGTATTACTACTGCCCCGTTGGTGGCTGTATAGGGTGGAGACAGTCACTCCTTGGCACAGTCATCACATTCTCCCTATGCAAGCAGGCATCTCTCAATAGGAATTTTGTTCATGAATTTGAGAACACGATATGGTCCTGAATGATCTTACCTCTGCTTTTGCTGTAATGTCACAGTTTCATATGCACAGATAAAAAAGGGAAAAGTTAGGGCAGTACACTAGAATTACCTGGCAAAGTTAATAAAGATGCCTGTAATGCCATCTTCAAGAGAATTATGTAAAGAAAAGACTCTCCTGATGAAACAGACGCATTTACTACTATTTGAGCTTAAATTTGCCCCCAAATAGTCCCTGCCATAAAGGTATCTTTTTCATCCTAAAGACCTTGGAAATTAAGGTAAGATGTGACATAACAGGAAGCCAGTAAGTTTTTATGGAGGACATAAGAAGGAGAGAAGTACTAAGTGGCAGATTTGACTACTAATTTCATTGACAAGATATGGAGTGGGATTTTCAAAAGCCCTGGGTTACCAAGAACACCATGTCCCATTGATTTTTAATCAATCACACATTTTTGGAATTCATGCACATCATAACTAAGCAAGTTTACAGTCCAGTCCAACCTGCACTGAAGTTAACAGTAATGCTCACTTTATGAAAGGCAGATCCAGT